CTAGGGAGCTGCACTATACAAAGTAGCATGATTCAGGCACCTAAGAAATCCTGCCATCTCTTTCATTGAGCTGTTCCATGGACACCTTATAATTTTTAGTCAAAAAAACACTGGAAATGATTTTGAACAGGACACATAGCAATAGAGAAATTCCTACATATTTCCTGATGTTTGGCTTCCTTTGTGCTGATGGTTAACCTTCAATAGCGGGTCAATATATGAAGTTCTGTCCAACTTGAAGCGGGGAAAGGAGTCCCGGCCATGCATTCTTAAATATGAAATGAGCTGATAACACTGCAGAGTGGTTATTTCCTCCTACTTGTTCAACTACATTTTAGATATAAATAATCACATTTTTCAAAGTAATTTCTCTATAGAAAACATATTGGATAAGCAAGTGCCTATTTGAGGAGAAAAATTTATCCCCAAATTGTTGTTTTCCTAAAGCTTCATGGAAAACGTGCTCTGATGTTACTCTGACAGGCTTGCGTGGCCGAGGTGGAAAGCATACTTGCCATTTTTAACTTCAAAAGCTGGCTACAGAGGTGTTCCTCAGACAACCATGGACACATGTGTGATCAGTTCCAGGAGGAAGACCTACTTTCCCTTGGTCACTGCCTTTTGCATGCTTAGCGGTATATCTTTATTTTTGAGGAACATATTTTCCTTTATTTCCATTTCTGAAAATCCACATATGTACGCATATTTCTCATAGTGGTGCAACTATAAACAGAGTGTTTGATTTAGATAAATAAAAAGTGTCACAAAGAGTTGGACCCCAAAGAGTTAATGTGGTCTTCACAGGATTCAGAAGATAAGTGAGCAATGAATTTATATTGATTTTCACTGGTTCATTCAAAACTATTGATTAGGCATCTACTTTATAGCAACTACCCTATTAGGGGGTGAAGCACAGAGATGGAAGGTAAGTCCTGCCTCAGAATGGTGGGCGTCTGGAAGTCAGCACCACAAGGTTCTGGGCTCAGATGGGACAAGGACAAAAGGGAGCACAAGAGGCAAGTCACAGGCCCAGGTAGGAAGGCTTCCTGGAGGAAGGGACTGTTGGCCATGCAGGGTATGTGAATGTTCTGAAAAGAAATCAGAGCAAGAGGCGAGAACGTACTTAGCACTAAGGCAAGATATGCAAAGTTCCATGAGAGTGAGAGGTCACGACTTACTCCAGAAACATGTTTCCTTTGAGATGCACTAGCTCAGGAAGTACCATGGAATTGATGGGCATTGTCTAGCATGCTAATAACTAGAATTTTACACTAAGAGCATCAGGAAAACGTTGGAGAATTTTAAGCAGTGGGCAACAAGCGTTCACAGCCCAGGGAGGTGAAATCACTGCCTCTAGAAGTCAGATTTGGAGGAAAAGCACTCTGGACAAGTCACTCAGTTAGCAATTGGTCAAAAGGATAACTTAAAAGTCAGCAAACAGTACAGATACTAGATAAGAAAAGTTTGTTTGAGTTCTCCAGCTTTAATATGTTTAACTTGAAGGGTTTAACTTAGTCTCTTTGAAGACATAACTTGCTGTCAAAGAAGCAATCTCAAGTGAAGTGAGTGGGTCCCCCATAAAGCTCTAGGTGTATTTTGCTGTTACATATCAACGGCCGAGTTAAAGAATAACTGATTGGGAGAAAACCAGCCACAGACTGAAAACTGAAACATGTTAAGAGAAACAAACCTAAACATAAATCACAAAGGTAAGGCTCAATGCAATTTTATCCATGACTGCACTTTTGTACAACTGATTGGGCAAACACCCCAAATAAACAATGAAACAAGAATTTGGCATCTTATCAATTACATCCGATTGTAAAGGCCAGTAATGTGGAATGAATCAAAAACAATCTAAAGAATAAAGCAATTTAGATGACTTGGCCAAATAACATCACTAATTTAGTATAAACATATGAATGGAATTAATCCAGATACAAAGCATAATCATGTGAAATATGACATAATTATATTGCAAGTTTATTGGAACTAGTGCTTAATTATTTCAATAAAAAAAAAGCACTGAAATGGAGACCTAACATAAACTTGTTTGTTTTTCCTAAGTTGTAAGACTGAATATCAAATGAAAATATAAGGTAAATATGAAAAGTTCTTTTTGTTTTAATACTCTTCTACCCTCCCAACATGGATAAACTCTAATAAGTCCTTCAAACAAAAAAAATGAGGAGAAAGAGGGTGTGGCAGAGGAGAGAAATCACTCTAAAACATAAACAAAATCTTTAAAATTCTGCACAGTCAAGTTAACACCCTTTCCAAGTATAAGCAGATACTGCTCGCCCCGATGAGGATTTGACCCACTGTTAGGAATATTCCCTAAGCGAGAAACTCAGTAAACAGTAAAACAAAGGAGAACTATTTTATTCAAAGGCCGGTGCACATATGGAACCTGTTAAGGGACGGTGACTGTAGAACAAACTACAAACGAGTTTCAGACACCTAGGCCATCTCCAAGAGGAAGGACAGGACAGAGGATAGGGTGGCTTCAAAGGCAGGAGAGTGGGCCAGAGATCAGTCAGATGGGCGGAATACCGGCTGTGAGGCAGATGGTCACTACTATTCCCAAACAAAGTTCAGGGATACTCCTTAGCACACGTGCTTTACACAAAGAATGAATTAAGAAGAAACCGGGGGCTGTCCAAGTTGCCCAGGACACACTTGTTCCTTTCCTGGAGGCACTTTGCTTGTTTGTGTATCTGATCTGCTGCCTTCTTCGTACTAAAGCTCTCTCTCACGGGATGCATGCTCAATCCTTAGATTCTATCAGAAGTGTGCGCTAGTTAAGAGCATAGTTATCTGTATTACACGGTCTTCTCTCCTGCTGCAAATGTCACAGGAAGATCGGTATTTCTCTTTAGACAAACTGCAAAGCTCATGCTTGCTAAGTTACCAAATTTAGGCCCAGTCCAGCCTCTGGAAGAGGTAATTAAACTATTGCTTTTGCAATATTTTTGTGCCGATGTTAAAAACTGATGAACACAGACCAAAGATAGTTGACCTGCCTTCCTTTTACAAGGTGGAATCATAGCTGTTGTATCAAGCTCACTTGTGTGTATCTGATGGAGAAGACAACTTCCCTGAGATGCTGTCCGACACCTCCTAGCTACCAGGAGGAAGCCAATACTCAGTACCCAGCATTTAGAAGCCAATATTCACCAAGCTCACAGGGCTGGGGGATGAGGCTTTGTCTTAGGCACTGTGAGAAATAAAAGTCAGGGAAAAGAACTCTCTTTGAAGAGGCGATCTGTTAATGCAGCAGTCAGAATACACATCTAGTAACACACATGTGCAGAGAATGAAAACATACAAACCAATTCTGGATAACTAACAACAGATGAGAAACAGACTGAAACTTAGCTTACTCTGGCCAGTGTGCAGCAAATGACACACTTTTCATGCACTCCAACCGGCCAGACACAGCTATACTGGGACTGGGCTGGAACATACAGAAATCTAGCAGGTAGGTACACTTGGAGAAAAGTTGTGGGCCAGACCTGGGAGGCGAAGCAGCAATGGCCACCTGGGCATTCCGGTTTTTACAATAGAGATGGGAGCCCTGGGTAAAGCAAAATGAAAATATACAGGTGCAAGAATTGCTGATACACCATCTAGCTGGGACAATTAGAGGAAATGGGCTGTCATTCCTGAGGCTATGGTAGCTGTATCTTACCGGAAATATATTTTATAGATATACTTTTCCTACTTTTTCTCCGTCTTTCTAAGAACTTACAAAATCTGAATGACAAGCAGTGCCAAATGAACACAGAGAGGAATGACAGAGACAGCAAGCCAGTGATAGATGAAATCCAGTAAGATAAAATCTGGTAGATCTTCAGTTGCTCAAATCAAAAGAGGAGTAAGTGATTCTGTATTCAAAGACAGGGAGGTACCAGGGAGACAACTCCAGGGTGGGGGGTCTAGGCCTGAGTTCGGAGGGTGGCTTCTCCAGGTAACAGCTTTGTGACCCTGCACAAAGAACTCAACCTAACTGACCTGCCCTTCCTTTACCTGTAAGGTAAGTAATGTAGATGAATTCAGTGGACGCCTGGATGTAGATAAACTGAAGCCTCCCCGAGTGGAGTACAACTTCCAAAGGCAGAGATTACTTTGGCTTCTGTTCCAGAGTGAACATTACATTTCGCCAAGCTCATTAAATACTGAGGAGTGGGGGATAATGAATGTAGGGACCTAAGTAATTCACACACAAAAAGAACTTAAAAATGTTCGATCTTGACGTGTCCATCCAATTTAGAATTTAATTCACACTTGCCATCTTGCCTAACATTGTGGATCCCAATGCTGTCTGAATGTAAGAATCACCTGGGGACACTCAAGAAATTCAGCTGCTGGAAGTTTTGCCATAATAAATGTGAGAACCATTTTGAATAAGTCCCCTGGTCATTCTGGTGGACAGCCAGCAGCAGGTATAGCCAGTCATTCATGGACTATCTCTAAAGCCTTAGACCATTTGTGTTTCCCAGAAGTGAGTCAAAGCAGCTTCACCTACAACTCTAAGACCCAACTACAGATGGTTCAAAGATATTTTTGTTTTTTTTGTTTTTTTTTTTTTTTTCCGGTACCAGGAATCGAACTCACGACCTTGCACTTGCCAGGCAGGCACTGTGCCGCGGAGTTAAATCCCCAGCCCCTGGTATTTTTCTTTACATGTATTCTTTTCCATTTTGCTTTGAAGCTCTAAAAAGCAAAGATAACTGTCTAAAAAACTGACACAAGACAGTTCTCATTATCTAGTTTTTCTCCTCAGTAGAAATTTGCTACTTTTCTTCTGACGAGACCAACAGCTAAAGGAGAGGAGGTCAAATCAGTTCCTTTGGAATATTTTGTGACCCTGCCCTATTTCGGTGAAAGAACATCAGGCAGTCATTTGAGTTATTTCCAGTCTAGTGCATCCTCCGTCACATGTGAAGAGCACACAGCATTAAGATCCCAGAGATGCATTCTTTCCATCAACATCTTACCAATGTGCTACCATCGGTCCAGCGGAAGTCATGCTCAAACATCTTGTCATTGAGTCCAATCCACTGATAATCATGGCCCACACCTAAGGGATGAGAAAAAATGCAGATTGGTTCCTACCTTTCCCACATAGCAATGAAAATATATCAAAGGAAAGTATTTTCAGAGTGAGTCATGAATCTTGTCTTGCTGGATTTTTATTTAGTTGCTCATTAACAAAATAATTCTCATAATCTCCCTTCTGTTCTTCAACCCAATGTGCTTTGAACAACAAAGATAATTTTTCAAACACTGCGAAGCATCAAAATATCAGACATGAACAATAATTTCCCTAGCTGTCTACTATAATTGAATATTTCCTATATTCACTTATAATTGAATATTTTCATTTACTTATTTTGTTCTTGCTAATCTATGCCACTGGCAAAAATTCAGTGACTCGATAAAATGCACAGGACATCAGAAACTACCCATTTCCTCTTGACTTTGGAAACCACATTTCTTCTCCCACTATTTTACGCAGTGAACACCTAGGCTAGAAATTTTTGAAAAACTATCCTCAAAAATATTTCTTTCTACCATGTGATGAGTCACTGGCAAAAATATCATACCATTAATTTTGTAAATTAATAAACTTCAAAAAGAGAGGTAGCACGATGGGAATTTTTTCATAGCGCACTGAACAGCACTTCTAAGTAAAATGGTTCTAGAAATTTGCTATGTGAAAACAAACAGCTCCCTCTTCACTGTAGTGTAAGAAGTTATTAAACAACTCTGCTGTCCGGTTTCATCAGCTTTGTATCTCCATCTCTTCCTGTTCCTAGTATGTACCTCACTTTCTATTGTCTAAAATAGAAACTTGGATGAGAACCAGAAGATAAGATTAGGATACTATTCACACTTGGATTTTCATTAGCTGGACAAAAAATAACTTCCGCCTTAATTTTATCTTTAATTCTAGCCAACATACAAACATTCAAAACAGAGACCATGAAGTTAACCACGGTTGGAATTTTACCAAATTGTAAGAAATGTCCATTTTTCTAAGTTTAAAAAAATGAGCAAGGAGCAATTCCTTATGATTCAACTCACTGACAACTGTTTCAGCTATTACTGTTGCCCGACCACATGACCATTTCCTGTATCAGAGCTGACTATTTCCCAAAGTGGAAGACTCATCCAGGTAAGTCACACTGGCCTTAACTAGTTCACAGATGAGGGATTTCATCCACTGGATCAAGGCTGAGAAAGCCACTACTCTTCTGTTGGCTCAGAGAAAACTAAACGGGTGGTGAGAATGAGTGACCCACTGGGAAATGCGTCTGTCTGGTACATACGATTCACAAACATCTGCTCTTCATGTGACAGGATACTGGTGAGATGGGCACCCTGCAGACGACATTCTCTCTCAGCTGCGTCCCACGTGCGTCGGTGGGCAAAGTACTTGTAACACTGCCCCTGGAATTTGTGCCAGCCGTAGTCACAGGTCTCGGTATCTGGGAAGAAACAGGCACGAGCAGATAAAACTCACCGACGTCATTCAAACTTGGCTCCTCGACCCAAGTGTAGACAGGATACCCAAGCCAACATCTACACAGTGTCCCGGAAGCCACTGATTCATAAAAGTTGGTCACAATAACGAAGAGATTATCGTAAAGTGAGCCCAGCGGATCCTGATGAAGTGGGCAGTTGTACATCCTGGGCCGCACCGAAGGGCAGCATCTAACTGCAGTGTTCTTGATTCAAGCCAGGCAACAAGAGAGAAAACTACAAGTGTGGCCCTGGGGAACCCATTGGTGGCTGAGTTGTCCGCACAGGGACTTCAGAAGCAGTTGGAGTGAATTCCTGACCCAGGCAGCTTTTCTAAGAGAAGGGAGTGATAAGATAAGAATTCTACTAACAGGATCAGGAGTGCTGTATTTGTATAATGACTTCAAAGGCTCTGGAAGTAGTCTTTTGCCACCAACCAGAGCGACAGCTGGCAGGCCACAGGCTCCTGTCATGCAGGATTTACACAGAGGGAAAAAACTGTGAGTAGGCAGCACTGGGGAAATAGCTAAAATGTGTTCTCTCTTCCTCCTCACGGACAGATTATAAACAAGGAGCTCCCAGGGCAAGTGCACAGGCTTTTATTAAAAATGGAACAACCGCAGTCCTGCAAATCACCACCCCTCTTTCACCAAGTCACACACGTAGGAGGTGTGATCAAAATATATGGTGGGTGTTTGAATTTTAAAGTATATTATAGTAAGAGACACACTGCCACTAATCCCCCCAAAATATTCCCCACAGCTTCAAATACACTTAGCATACTGTTCTGGTCACTTTCTGAAGCAGCTCTGAAGTCCTCTTTTGGGAGTATCTTTATGAGATGTGATCAAAAATACAGTGAATGCTACTGCTGTGTGCTGTCTAGTTGAAAGACGGGCTCATAAAAACATGTCGCTGTGTCCTCCTCCTCCCAGTCACCGGATCTGGCACTGTGCAACTTCCAGCTCTTTCTCAGAGTCAGAATGATCTCAAGAGGGAAGTGTGTTTGATCAATTCTGGAATCGAGGCAGCCAGGACAGCACAACCCAAGATACTCAGGAAAGGGACTCCAGAGCTGCTGCAGAAAGTAGCAAGAAAGATGGGGTGAGTGTGTTTGAAGTGAGAGGGAAGATTTTAAGGGAGATTAATGGGAATGTGTCCTTCACTACAATAATTTTTTAATTTAAAATTTACCACATATTTTGAGCACCACCTATGTGTGTGTTTCTCGTTTGCAATAAGCATACCAAAACAGGTATCCCAGGGGGATGAAGATATTTTCAAATATTTCTAAATTTTGTGTTTAGCATAACCTTCAGCTGTACTTTCTCTTATGCTAGTCTCAAGAAAGTAGCCTTACTCATAGCTCTGTATTCTCACTGGCAATTTTCTCTCAAATTCACTGACTCACAGGTAGGGTTATCTTCTAGATATTAAAATCCTGGATTTTAATAAGGATCAGTGCAAATGACTTTTACCTTCATGAGTTATAGCTCACAAATATAACCAAATAGTTACTTACAAAAACTAGCAAAATTGCAAAATTTATAGAATCGTAAGACACCATGGAGACCTTGCAGTTGATCTAACAAGCCTGTCTTCTCTGAGTTTACTGATTGATAATGAAAACAAACTCTGCTCCATTAAATATTTTAATTTTGTTAAATATGTTAATTTTGGTAGTGAAATTGAAACATAAATTGCTTCCTGCTTTGCCTCTGTTACTCTCTATCCATAGTATTTGCTCCTCTTTATTTCTTTGGCTGTAGAAGCCTATATATTCAGAAGGCCATGTTTTTTTTTTACCTTGGATTTAGATTGTAGACAGAGAACAGATGCCATTTATCTCTGAGAGTAATCTTCATTTCAGTTTAGTCTATTAGGCCTGTTGTTTAGGTACAGCCTGCTGACTAATTGTTTTGAATAATGTGCACTGGAAGTTTTGAGTTTTATGAACGTGTTATTTAGAGATCAGCAAGTCTCAGGAAAGGAGCAGGACACAGCCAGATGATTAGTGCAGAAGCAGCCCTTGGTTTCCATAGTGAAGCACATTGTGGTCCCACAGATAGTAATTTTCTTTGGGGGAAGTTCATTTAGAAGAATTCAAAAGTGAGGGGGAGGGGGAGAAAACAGATCTTCCTCTCTGAGGGGCTTACTTTAAAAAGAACGAGAGTTGGGAATAAATTTTAGAACATTTTTCACCACTAAAGTCAATACTGTGGTATTGTAATACCATACTTTTCCTTAACCGTGAAAACTAGCATTTATTTTAAGACGTGCAGTTTAAAATCCTAGGGGCTCGGGATGTAGCTCAGTGTCAGAGCGCTTGCTTGGTGTGCTGAAGATCCTGGCCTCCATCCACAGCACAGAAGAAAGAGAAGCTAGCAGAGCCTTAGTTCTTAACACATCAGAAAAAAGTCTCCTATGCATTCTTATTGCTATCAACCTGAGTGGCTTCCATTTGGTTTTCTTTGTGTCTGTTTTGTCAGCAAAACAGATTATCATTAGGTATTTTTTCTCTTTTACCGAAAGAATCCATGACATGCAGATGTATGTCATTGGTAAAATGCTGCCGCCACTTGGAAGCCTCTGTTCCCCTGTGGGTTCCCATGCTACAAGTGTGGTCTCCAACGAAGAGGTCCAAGAGGCGGTGGCGTATGCAAGAGGTGAGGCCTCCTCGAAGGTAGTAAGGTCTCAGAGTGCCACCTTCACGACAGATTGGGCCTGGGAACAGCGTGTTAGTTCCCACTAAAATGAGTTGTTTCAAAAGAGGAGGTTAGACGCCTCGGGGGCTCTTTTTCCCTGTCTTACAAATGAGCTCTCCTTTCTGCGTGAGGCTGCTTCCTGTTCTGCTTCTTCATTATGTTGTAGCAATAAGGACCTCAGCAGAGACAGACAGATGGGGACACCCCGTCTTAGATGTCTCTCCGAACTGGAAGCTAAACCCACCTCTTTTCTTTGTGAAGTACCCAGTGCTAGGCACTCTGTTATAGCACTGTACAGACTAAGACAAATGCCTTTCATTGATCATAGGTGTATACATTCCTAAAAGAATAAAAACCAAGGAGCAGAGTTTCTATTAAAACCACCTATCTATACCCATGGTGGCAAACCTATGGCACATGTTATTTGTTTTTTTCTTGAGACAAAAGATGTTAATGTATGAGTTGTTTTTCCTAAACTAAAACCTCAGTATTTAGGTTTAATTACAGTGTTGGCACTTTGTGACAAATAAGTGGGTCTTGGGTTGCAGTTTGGGCACTCGTCCTTAAAAGGTTCACCATCACTGACTGATACTATTTAAACCATAGTTTTCTAATGATTATAAATGCATGTGTAGGGGCTGGGGATTTAGCTCAGTGGCAAAAGCGCCTGCCTGGCAAGCGCAAAGTCGTGAGTTCGGTTCCCGGTACCAGAGAAAAACAAAAACAAAACAAAACCAAAAAATAAATAAATAAATAAATGCATGTGTAAACACTGCACATGGCTCTTAGGATTTTTAAAAGTCAAACATCCACACTGATCCAAGAGAATTTTGTGGTTCAGGTAATGAAGGTTTTACATGGCAAGCGGCATCTTCCAGTATACTGTTCTGACAGGAAGTCTCAGTGTGATTTTTTCCAACTTTACCTAAAAACAATGTGAATGTGATTTCACTGATTGAAACACAACTCTTTCTGATGATGATCTTTTCCTAAATCTTAGTCAACACTATGGAGAGGTATCTTCTGCTTTAAAACTCCTTCAATGCACAGGCTGAAACACAAAGACTCAGATTTGGAGTGTGTGAGATCCTATGCACAATAATAGAAGCTAAAAATATCACTGTTAGACAACTCCTCTGCAAATCTTTCTCTTTATGCCTTCAGGTAATATTTTCAACACCTCTGATAGGTAGCTATGGAGCCTTAAGAAACTGTGGACACTTCGACCCTGTACTCCAGTAAGCTCCACTGTCCACTTTGGACAATAGTCTGCACATGTGCGGAGGTTTCTTAACCAGTTCCCGGGCACCTTCAACATTTCATATCTGTTATGATTCTGCCAGAAAATGCCCCCTATTTCCAAGTTACCGTGACTTAAAAAGTTACTAGTGCAGAGAGAAAAGGTCAGCTGAAGAAAAAAGGACAGAGTCACCACAGAACTTTGGATAGAAAACTGTTTAGACAACAGTGCTGCTTTTAATAAAGAAAACATTTGTTCTTAGGCAACCTGAAAAGAAGAGAAAAAAGAAATCTTTCACTATCCTGGCAATAAAGCACAGGGTCACAGCTGCATCGGGTAAACAGACAGGGATAGAAGTTTCTCAGCAATTAAAGTGGATGAAAGCTAGACTGGATTGCAGATAGAACAGAAAGAACCTGTAAGTGAGGTGCAATAGCAAAGGAAGAAGCAATTTAAAATTGTTCCTGTTCAACAGTCTTTTTAAAAGACAGGGAAGAATTAACCGGCCTCAGGTCCTTTCCAAGACTCTGTTACCATGCAACCCATTAGATATACTCAAATAAGAAGTGCTATGTCTTTGAGAAGTACTTTCAATGCGTGAGGACACTGAGGAAAACTCAGGCTTCAGGGTTAATCCATTTAGGTTCGCTCTTCCCATTCTGTAATTCACTCGCTGTGTAATCCTGAGCACTTTTTTTCTCTGAGCCTCCACTTGTAACACACTGAATGCAAAGAAATGTCCTGTTAACCACATGAAGCATCATATTAAGAAGCACCTGACAACTATAGACTAGCAAACAAATAGGCTCTCTTTCCATTCTCCACCAAGAGTTATACCAAGTGACCGAGATCAGGGATTTCCTCATTCAGAGATCAATCTCCGGTCCCCAGCACAGTCTGAAAAACAGTGGGTGTTCGATCCATACTTGTTGAACAATTGAATGCATGGATTCTTCCCTGTACTCAGAAGGGAAGCCACAATCACTTTAACATGCTTGAATGTTTCAAATGTTTAATCCCTTAGTCTTCCTTAAGAAATGGTATCTTTCTTACTTTTCAATTTAAAAAGAGAACTGTGCTGTCTATTTTTATATTTAAAATTCTAAAACAAAAAGATCCACCCTGCCCCCTAAAAAAAGAAAAATCCTAAACCTGAGCCATCGCCCGTGGCTGTGTAACAGTAATTCAGTACATGCTCCTTTTAGCTTTGCTTTAATTGTAGTGACGTCTGGATTAACACCGCAAAGCCGAATGTGGGGCCAGACCAATGTGTCTGAGTGTCTAACACATTTTCATTTTGTCTGGTAGGATAGAAGTTTGGCACTGAGCACTTTTGTCAAAGCCAAACCACTGTAAGACTTTAAGCAGAGGAAATACACATTCCCAAACCGAGTATGCTGAGCATGCAATCTGTTTCTGATTGATGGACTGAGAAATGTTACCATTAACCCCCTAAAACATGCTCTTTGGTTGGCCATAAAATGCAAAGTACAGGGATCATGAGAGTCTGGGCCTTTCTTTTATTGAGAAAAAAAAGTAGATGCTTCATTAGTAGGAACATTTCCTAGTGAGCAGACTCATAATATCTTTTATGTAGTATGTGCCACGCCAAGGGTAATGCATTTTAACAGCTGTATCAACTCATTCTCCAGATATGATTGACCAGGAGAAATAAGCCTGAGTCTCAAGACCTCAAGGAGAGAAAATACAAGCAACCAACATTGAACCTAACATTCTCTGGTACACAGCCCACATGACCCATGCCTCCTTTGTTCCCAGAAAGAATACAGACAACAGTATTCCTGGCATTGAGCAGGTGTCCTCCAGTTCATTGCTGTGAGAATGCCTTCAATGCCAGTCTATCAGTAAACCAGGTCAGTCACTGCCATGGCCCAGGTCTTTGTCACATATAAGGAAATCAGGAATTTCCTCCACACAGAAGACAATGCAGGGAGGCCAACATTTTGGGAAACATCAACAATGTTCATTGCTGAAACTTCCCAATAGCTCTTACCTTGTTCACAAAGTGCGCCAACGTAGCTTGGCAGGCAGAGACACCGAAATGTGTTAAAACCATCAACACAGGTTGCTCCATTCCGACACGGGTTAGAGTGGCATTCATCAAAATCTGAAATAGATTATAATATTTAAAAGCCCTCACATATGGAGTAATTCTGTTTAGTGTGAGGTTGACAGATAAGAAAGGACAGCCCATTAAATCTGATCAAATCTAGAGTCTGCATTAACCTACATCTCCAGCATTTTTTAATTTACTTTTTTATTTGAGACAAGGTTCTTTTTTTAACTGACACTCAAATTTAACTGACCTGCTGTACTTTGATTTGTGGAATCTAGCAACCTTAAGGAAATTTCAAATATACTCAGAGTAGGATCACTGTCTCTATCCTATGAGCCCTAAAACTAAAGAATCCACTTCTGAGTCCCCATGCTCTGACTACCTCAATGTGAAATACTCAAAACAACCACCAGGCCTCACGGCCTCTGCTGAAGGGCATCTTTTCTGTCTGATCATTTCATTCTTCTGCCTCTCAACTTTCCACGGATGCTGAATGCCCAGGGCAGTGGTCCTCAGAGTGGCGCAGTGGCATTAGCATTACTGAGAACATTAGAAATGCACTTTCCCCACCACACCTCAGACCTGCAGAATCAGTGCTTGGGGGCAGGCACGGCAACCTATCACCCCTCCCAGTAATCCTGGTGCATGTACAAGAGGTGACCAAATATTTGGTACAGGTTCAAAATTTTAAAAAGTGTTACAGTAAAGGATGCAGGGACAAGGATCCCCTTCAAAATTCTCCCCCTCACATCCAACACACTTATCCCATCATTCTGCCCATCCCTGGAACAGTTCTGCAAGTTCTCTTTCAGGAGTGTCTTTATGAATGTGATTTAAGATACAGCAAATGCTGCTGCTGAGTGCCATCCAGCACAAAGGCAGGCTCATAACGACACCATGGCTCATCCACCTTATCACCAGTTCTAGCACAGCATGATGTTTGGCTCTTCTCCAATGTCAAAATGACCATGAATGGTCAGTGTTATAAACGGATTTAGGACATTGAGGCAGCCATCATAGCACAGGTAAGGCACTCAGGAAAGAAGACTTTCAGAACTGCTTCAGAAAGTGTCAAAAATGATGGGATGAGTGTGCTAAAAGCAAGGGGAGGCATTTTGAGGGAAGCTCATTGGCAATGTGCCTTTCACTATAATGTTTTTTAATTTAAGTGTTTACCATATTTGTTGATCACACCTCACAGATATTTCAGAACCACCTGAGTAGAATATAAGTAAGATGATTCAATACATTGGATTCAGGACCCTCGCAGATCAGGATCTTCTAGACCCAACCTTCTAACTCTTCTCTCTAGCTATGACCCCTGCCCCAGGTCATTCTTAGGCCTGTGTGTGCACTTCCATCTCCCTAACATAGTCTGTGATTTCAGGGCTTCTGTATTTCTGCTTCTTGTGTCCATATTCCCCCAAACATTTATCAAATCCTCCCCAGTACTAAGGTCAGTGTCAAACACAATCCTATAGCAGATCCCCATGGGCTCCTCTAGTGAAGTGAATGACTATATTCCAATAGTGTTGTGCCATTACACAGACAACTTAATTCTAAGGAATATTTTTGAAAATAAATACATAAAGCAAATCAAATACCCAAGAATCATATCATATGCTCACATCTAAAGCCCTGGTCTGGGTCACAATGGTGTTACATAGTAACAGCACTAAGCACTTTTACATTCATGTCCAGTGTCACTAGTAGAGCATCCTAGACATTAATGCACTAAATTATTCTAATTGATTTTAATGTAAAACAGAATGAGGGCCAGATACACATTGTTATATCTGTATATGTCATCTTCATTATGGTTTATGTCTAGATATCCCCCCTAAACCTCATGTAGTCATAGGACTTTTCAGAGGTGGCTGGATGTAGGGTGTGTGATGCTGGGATGAAAGGTGTGTGATCAGCTCACTGACTGTTTTGGTACCTCCCTAATCCCAGCATCCTACATAGAGTATGAAGGGAGCAGAAAGACATGTTAAAGTTGGTTGCTGCTTTTGCTGTCTTCTACTGCCTTGAACTGTTGCCCCTCACCATGCCACCCTGCCTTGGAGCCAGCTGATCATGGACTGAAACCTCCACAAACTGTGAGCTAAATATACCTTTCCTTCCTTCATTTTGAGCATCAGGTATTTTATCCCAGCGATGAGAGAAAAGTAACTAAGACAATCTTTAAGACACAATTATTCCTTAAACGTTATCCACTGCTGTTTCTTCTATACTCACACTTCTTAGCACAAAGTGCAGCCTGCTCCATGTTGTCTGTTTTTTAAGACAAATACTTCTTAAGTATGAAGGTTGGATTTCACAATGCTCCTGTATAATCAAAAGGCTTATTGGTGGGCCTTATTCAATAATTTTGAACAAGCCATGTGCCTTTCAGAAGGAGCACTTGATCATACATTCCATCATCTTTTTATTCTTTCTACCCCTTTTTCCTCGCTCATGCTCACCAAAGCACTGACTAGTTTCACTTTATACTTGAGGCAGGTAGACCTTAGCACATATCAGCACCCCTGGTGATAGGCACTGAGGCCCTGGTGAGGCACAGGCCGTGGTCCCTGTCCAGAGCATATGTTTCAGTAGATCAGAGGTGGGATGGGAAGGTGCATTGCTAATGTTCTCAGTGATGCTGATATTTCTGATCTGGGGACCACACTTTGAGCACCACTGCCCTGGGCAACTGGAATTCATGGCAAGCAAGGTTGGTATATAGCCAAATCAAAACTAAGAAATTTTTTTAAAAAGAAAAATAAAAAGGAATATATGCAGCACTTGGGAGGCTGAGACAGGAGAATCGCCACCAGTTCGAGGCCAGCCTGGGCTAAATAGTGAGTTCAAGGCCATTCTGAACTGCATAGTGAGACTCTGTCTCAAACACACCCAAACACACACACACACACACACACACACAAGTAAAATGAAGTGATTTAATGAAAAGAACAGTTTTATTCCTGGAAACTGAAAGAGAGGAATGGACTGAAGTGGAGCAACACCTTGAGGGAGAGACAGGTTTAGCCCAGATGAGCAGAGAAGAGATGGATGTCTGTGCCACTACACACGAGACTAAAGTCATCCAAAACATAAGAACTAGAGGTCCTCATTTTATTTTTTCCTGTCTAAATAGTTTTCTAAGAAGAAAAACTGTATCCACGTCAATTGACTGTGTATGGATTGTAGAAGTTTGATGAAGATTTGTAATTAATACCCATACATCTCTCTCTTTGCAAAGTCTATCTTTTAAAACCACAAAAAGACACCAGTGGCCTCAGGCCTCACCTAGTCTTGGTTGTATTAAAAGACATCAGGGACCACCTGGCCCCTTTCCCAGTCCTACGTAACAACGCTCAGAATTTAACTTTGTTTGGCACATAGCTCAGATACGCACAGGTTTCCCTGAGACCTCGGACTGAGTGCACAGTATGGGTTCTCCCTCTAAGTCCAGCTTTTGGAAAGCACTGGGTCTGTCAGCCAAGAACATCTTACCGAGTTCACACTGGTCTCCGCTATAGCCTGGCACACAGGTGCACACGTAGGACATTTCCGTGGGGTAGCAAGTGCCCCCATTTCGGCACGGGTTGGTTTTACACCGATCAGGTCCTATCACATTCAGGAAAGTAAGAAAAAGAAAACAATTAGGCTCACGTTTTAGGTTTCAATATATTTTAGCATAAAACACCCCTGACTGCTACCACAATATAAGCTTTACCACAGCAATTTAGAAATGCTACATATAGAAATTAACATTAACTTTACTCTGGAGTGTTTCTTGGCATTATTACTAGTTGTTACACATTGCATCTATTCACTTCTAGGTTTCAATTATTATGTTTAAACAGTATTTTTATACTGCATCTGGCAACTAATGTATTCTATGGCAGATTTAGTCGGCATGGTAATGACAATTGATTTTAGTCAAAAATGATTACACGTATGTGCACAGTGAATGGAAAATGTATTCTTTGAAACGGGGTTAGTTCATGTGAAATGGCTGGATACACAGAACATGCATTCTTTTTAGCGGGTTGGCTGGTTACCATCATTTGAATTATTATTGCCTTTTACCACTTAATGCTCAGAAACTGTTTTTCTTCGAAAGTGTGCACTGAAGTTTCTTCTGCTACATTAATATGCTTTTTCCAAAAACACGCTCCAAATGTACTCCTTTAAACTATACTTGAAGAAAAGCAACACATGAATTAAACTCTACTGCATGAAAACAAACCCCAATACAAAAACCTCACCTAAAATGAAACCCCTAATTTTTATTACACTTTTCTTATTAAAGCATAAATAGAATGAGCCCTTCTTAGAGATCACTGTAAAGGCCAGACAGGAATCTATGAAGATAAATACTTTAAAATGTATATACTACATGCAAAATATTTTATAGCATTTGAAGTGTGTATTTTATTTTCATGAACTTATATTTATTCTTTGAATATTTTTCAGAACTGCTGAATTCTCAAAGTTCTCAAGAACTTAGTTGACAACTAAAAGTTTTACACAGTAGTTAACATAAGGTGGACTACATATGGGTTACAACCATATTTTCAAGAATTGTAGGTCTGACATCCTGAAATAAGTACACCTGCAAATGCCTAACTGCTATAGAAGACACTTTAGCCATTCCCACACAGGAAAAGTCAATGTCAAACTTTCTGAGTGATAAGTAAACTCTGGACAACCTAGAAAAGACACATTCACTTTTAGGATTCACATTAAAGTTAGGTAAGTCTGGATGAGTACATCAATGTCTTTAAAAGTTAACCCAGTTTTTCTAAGACATTTTCTCCTATGGATTCAAAAAGAATTAAAATTCCTTTGCAATGTCAGCTTTCTCTGTGTGAAAGCACACTGCCCCAGGGACAAGGTCACAGTCATGGACAAATCTCCATCTGTGCAGAGTTGAATGATGCTTCTGTGACAGTGCTCTGTGAGATGTCACATAATGTGCAGTCCTCTTACTGACCCTCCCACACACACACAAGACCCCATGCTGACACCAGGGACAAGGCTGGATAGGAGAGTGGGTCTTTCTGTGAACATAAAGTAGTTCTCATTATGAGAAAAGTTTGCTCTTAAGAATTTTATTTTTCCCTAAATAGTTTGTATTAGCCTCTGAAAGTTGAATCTGCAAGATAAACCAGGGAATCCCATGTGAGCTGCTGTTTACTGAATTAAGCTAAAGTGACAACTTGTTTTGCAATGAAGACGCAAATTTGAATTCCTGGTAAACACAGTGGAGTGGATGACTGGTATGCACTGCTCACTCTGTTGTCATATTTAACTCTTTCTCTGTCTGTCTCTGTCTCTGTCTCTGTCTCTCTCGGTCTCTCTCTGTGCATCTCTCTCTCTAGAGTTAGGACAAGCTATTTCTGTATCATATTTTTAACAACCTGAAGTACATTTCAACTTAATCACAAACCAGTAGGTATTAAACAGGTCACTAGAGTATCGGTTACAGAATGAGAGCAAAAAAAAAAAAAAATCCAGTGTCAGGCACCTTTGATCAATTTTGTTCAGAAAATATTCCAATTCACCTATAAAAAAAATTGCATTTTCTGCCTATTTTACTCTTTCTGAAGCACAAGATACAGTATCACTATCACATAAACTGAAATTGACATGACCAGAATAACAGTTCTAACAATAGCTGTGACATAAAACATATTTATTAAAATACATTTATTTTCAAGCAACACAGCCCTTAAAGTACTGATTGCCTTATTCCAGATAACAGCTAAGTGGTGATGGTTGTGTGTGGGTTCCACTGACGGCGTCAATCCAATGTAAACATTCCAGACAAACTCTATAAAAGCTGACTTTTCAGCATCCCCAGGCTTGATTACAAAAAAAGTGACTGCTAAGCTTGTATCCCAAGCTTTCTGGTTTATTTATTATTAAATGTCAATTGTTCATTTTTATAAAGTAGTGGAAACTAGTGAAAGGCAGGAAAAAGACTGTGGACCCTAGAGTGAGGCCATTCTGTTTTCGAATCCTACTTTGCCAGGGTGTGGCTGTGCAACTCTGTGCAGGTAACTGACCCTCTTTGAATCTCCATATCCAGTGCTTTTACACAGAGCTAAGCATGGTGCTTTATGGCCTTTCATGAAGACTAAATGAAATGGACTATGTGAAGCAGTATTAAATTCACTTGTCTATCTTTCAATAGACAAATGTGAAGGCATATTAAATAAATACCCACTATGACTAGCCCCTGGGTTAGGGATAACGTACAGACTCTCTTAAGCAAGGGGATTACCTTACAGTATAAACTGATAATTGATATTTCCTAAGCTGCAAAATATTTATTAAAACTATTACTCCTCTCAAACGATAAAGGCAAATTTTGATGACTGTCATAATAACATCCACCAATGGGAGGGTTTTGAAACACAAGGATTTTTCATTTTTAAAACCAAGGTGTATAAGTGTAGGACCTACAACAAAACAATACCTTTTTGTGAGCGAAAACACATTGAATTTTCTGCATTAGTTCATTTTATACACTTTACTATGGAATGTTGTTTCTAAAACACAGAAAAACACAAAGTATATCTGTAAAGCTCAGAAAAACTCTGTACTTACTTCCATCATATCTCATAATAAGCTCAATACTGTGGCCTGAACTGCTGTTACATGAATAATACAAAATCTCCATTGACTTAACATCACAATCAAAATAACATCCATTAGCACCAAGGGACCGTTTCCAGATGTGGAAACTGATGTATCAATGTTGCGATCTTACCTGGTAAATAGATAGCTGTGCCTTCCACGGCCTCTTCGTGAATGCCCATCAGGAAATGAGTTTCATTAGAAGTTTCCAGAAGGGAAAATGATGGTGAGGTGAGTTCAGTGTTTAATTCCACAGTGCTTATTGTAGCCTGATTATTAGAATCAAGAATTCTGGCTGGCACTTCCTTTTCTGGTGCTGCTACTGTGGAATCCTCCCCTCGGATGAAAGCTGCTGCATGTGTTTCAGAGTTCATTTCCAAAGAATAAGGAACAGTGGGGCTCGCAGAAGTCTGTGGGCTGGGCTGAGGCACCACACCTGCCCTAACCCCGGAAAACACAGAAGCGGAAGTAGAATGTGGCCACTGTGTGGCACCTTCTAACTTAGGCTCCCCGGCAGCTGTAGGAACAGTTCCAACTCCAGGGGTTCGAAATCTTGGAAACACCTCGGTTGTTTCTCCAGAAAACTGACCACTGTCTTTGTTTGTGGGGTCTTGGGAAGCCTCAGTTGCCTCCTCAGTTACTAGTTCTGTGGGAGGAATTTCCACTTCTGATAACTTGGGTTTGCTTTCATCTTCAGAAAGTTTTGTGTCAGGGGAGGAGGATGGAGGCTCGGTTACATGGACTTGCTCTTCACTCAGTGGTTTGAAAGTGGCTTCAGAAGTTGTTTGAAGATTGTTCCAAGGATGCTCTGGAGACATCGGAGTTGAGCTGACGTCTGTACCTAGCAGGACAGTTGGCTGAGGAACCTCTGTAGATTCTGATGCTCCGCTGCCCAGGGAGATAGGTAATGGAGAGGATGGTGTCTGTGGAGACAGCTCTTCAAATGCTGGAAGAGCTATGGAGGGGCTGGGTCTTCCCAGCACATCAGGGGCTTCTGTTAAACTCTGGGTCATGAGGTGGACATGAGTGATACTTACATAGGGAGTGACGTCTATGAATAACTCCTCGGACCCTGAAGAGAATTCTGGCTGAAAAGAAGGACCTACATATTTCTTCTCTTCATACTCCTCCTGTGTCCTTTCCAAATGACTTGATGTTGATATTACTTCACTTTGGTCTGCAATAGCTTGAGCATCAGACAAAGTGCTTGATTCAAATATGTCATCCAGGCCTGTTGTTTCTATTTTTGCTTCTTTGATCTCTGGATGAACTGTGGCAGATTTACTGGGCATGGGCAGGGATGTTACTGTGGGAAGTAAAATATCTAATTCTGTTTCCATGCTAGGGACAGAGATTTCAGTTGCAGAGTTAAAGCCCATGTGACCTAATTGGCTTTTGTCCTCAGAAGTTGCTGTTTCATTACCTGTTGCCTGAGTGTAGCTAGTCAGGAGATTGTCACCAGAGCCCTCAAATGCTTCCTCGGTTAAAGAAAGGTTGCCAGCTGCCTCACGCTGGTCTTGAACTTGGGTGGCTTGCATGCTTTCTTCATTTCCACCACGTGGTCCTGATGGTGCCTCTGGATCTATGTCTGTCTGCATTCCAAGGATGTCCTCATCTACAGGTTTTGTGTGATCAATATCTATGATAGTAGTTGTGTCTCTCAGCTCAAGAATATCAAGGATGGGACTCTCTGTAATGGTCAACATTAAACCCTCCTTGTCCAGATCTATAATAATATTTTCAGTGACTTTTCTTCTGTTAGGTTTTAAGGTAGAATCCTCAAATCTCACAAAGTGATCTTGAAAACTATCTGTGCCATCTTCCGTGGGACTCTGGGGTGATTCTGTGTCTACTGGGGTGCTAGGTGCATCAGGGATGCTTTCACTCTGCTCCAAATGGAGAGGCAGCTCTGTGGACACTGGGGGAGGTGCATGGGCAGTTCCAGCTTCAGTGCCTGGGACTTCTGAATGCTGTTCCGGGAATCTGTCAGAAACAAATGTGGTGCCCCCTTGCCTGCTTGCCTGAGTAGTTCCAGAAGTATGGACTAACTCAAGAGTATCTAATTCTCCGGATCCCTCTCCAGAATGTTCATAAAGCAAATCAGATGGTTTTGGTGCTGATGTAACAAATTCTTTGGCCATTTCAAGACTATGAGTTCTCACTAGAAAAACAGTGGAAGAAGTTGGTGTTTCTTTAGTTTCTGCTCCCAAAGACTTCTCAGGAGAGATTTGTTCAGTTACAACTTGTGGTCTCCATGTCTGGACTTCTTCTGACCATCTGAGGGTCTTACTGAGAGGATGCTCGATGTCTGTGGAGAAAGAGGCAGGTGCTGGAGTTGGTGCTTCTGCTCCAGTGCTGCTTAAAACTTCTGGTAAGGTTGTGTTGGCTACTGCCTCAACAGATTTGGAGATGTCTGTTTTGAAAAGGAGGGGTCCAAATTCATTTTTCACATTTTCCATTCTCTCATGGTCTTCTACTTTTTCACTTAAGACACTTGTTTTTAAATTTTCCGCTTGAGGAGTCTGGGGATATAATGTGCTAATGATTTGTTCCATTTCAGTAAAATTCACTGACACTGTAGGCAGAGTAGGCAAAATTTCTTCTCCTGATCCCAGTCCAGAAAATAAGTGCTCAGTCCCCAAATCATTAACATTTGGTCTCACACCTTTGGGAAAGAGTTTTATACTTTCTTCCTCTTTAATTAATGAATCTGTGACCACACCTTCAGCTGGTGTAGATTCAGTCACAAAAGCAGAAGCTGAGTAAAACTCTGACCTTTCAGCAGCCTCAGGGAGAGGAGTGGGTGACTCTAAGGCCTCTGTGTCTGGTCTCAGTGTAGAGAAGAGGACTGAGGAAACGCCTTCCTCTTCCACTTGCTTATCAGTGCTGTACGTTTCCTTTGTAGAATAATCTGTAGCTTGGAGTCCAGTTTCAGTTAAAGCTTGTGAATAAAAAGTCGTTTGCTCTGGTGCAAGAGAGCTATGGGTTGATTCAAAAGATGCATGTTCTTGAGTCTTCCCCTCTGAGGCTGTTTCACCTTCAGCCCCTTGTCTTGAGGGCTCACCTTCTTGCCTGGCCCATAACTTGGCTGGCTCTGTTGTTTGGAGAAAGCCCACTGAAACTGTGCCACTGACCTTTGCTTCTTCCTTTTCTGTTGGCTCTGTAGTACTCTCTGCTTCTGCTCTAGATGAAATGGTGGGGCTTTCACTGGGTTCATGAATAACACTCATTTCTTCCAATCCTTGGTCAATAAATGGGAAATCTGTACCAGAGAAGTTTTCCACTGCAGTGGGAAGCACTGGATCAACAGAGCTGCTGGCCACGACCAGCTGCTCGCCAGAGCTCTCTAAGGCTGTGAGCTCTTCCCAGAAGAAGGTTGAGGTGCTGACCGTGGTACTGCTGGGCCGTTCTGTGTCAGAACCATGATGGGTGTGCTCTGAAGAAGACACCGCAGATGGTAAAATCTGGATATTTGTAGAACCCGTGTCTCCAGAGCCTTCCATCATTGCGGGGTCTTCTTTTGTTATGGGATGAGACACTGGGGAGTACTCTGTAAAGTCACCACTGAACTCTTCCTCCAAAGGAAAACTTGTAGAGAAGCCCTTTCTTTCTCCCCCATGATTTGGTCCTTCTGGTAGTTCTGAAATCAATTTTCCCTTGGATGCTGGGCTTATAGTTTCAGCAACTTCTCTGCCCATTACAGTGGTCAAAACTTGTCCTGCTGATTCAGAGGAGAATGTGGTTCCCACCCGGGGAGACCAAATGCTTACCGCTTCTGTTGTGGTTTGAGTTTCAGACTCTAACTTCAGTGAAAATGAAGAAAGGGTGGTGGTCCCTGGGTCCACAGAAGCTTCCCCAGAGCCCTGCTCCATAAAGAGAGAGACGAGGTTCTCTGGGAGAGTGGTCAGCCCTTCCTGGATCCCAGCTCGGCTGCTACCACTATGCTCAGAGGGCTGCGCCCCTGAGTTAACTAAAAACTCCGGCTCTGTAAAGAAAAGGGGGGAGCTCAGCATTGCACTTTCAGACGGTGTGGGTGTTGTCAAGGGCAGAAAACTCTGCTGGATGTCTGAATCACTAGAGGTAGCTATATCTGAACTTTCTAACTCAGGGGATGAAACAACTTGATCTGATCTCTGTGTTGGTGACAGTAACTCAATTGCAGGTGCTGTACCAGTAGTTTCTTCTTCTTCTGCCTTCTCTTTCTTTTCCTTTCCCTCAAGAGCTGTACTGAAAACCCACGTTGAAGTATCTATTTCACTTACAAATTTGGGAGACACCACTGCTGCAGAAGAATGCTCAGAACTGGAATAAACGGTGGTCACAGCAACATCAGAAATGCCTTCTGTGATCAGAACCTTGCTAGTTTCTAAAGTGATGAGTGCATCTGTAGTATTTCTCTGTGATAAATCAGCTGCCATGGTGAACATTCGACCTGTGTATTCTTCTACTTCCCCAGAGCCCTCAAGAAATGGAAGTGAAGAACTCCCTGAGTGCTCTGCAGCTTGGCCAGGGGTTATTTCAACCCAGCTTTCTGTAGTAGACAAGGGGTGCAGATTTTCCGTTAGGGTAACTGAGCCCTCTGGTGCCATAGGATCTGGAGAACTTGGAACTATACTGCTTGGAGTGTGTGTTAAAGTAGTACTTTTTTCTGGCTCTTCACCCAGTGTTACTTCTGTAGCCCTTGAGAACACCATTTTCTGAGATACTTGGTCAATGGCAACCTCTCCAGAAGACTCTTCAGGAAACAGAGGTAGAGGCTCAGGATTTCCACGCACCAGATTTTCAAGTCCAGGACCTTTCTCTGTGATTAACTCTACCCCCTCTGGGCTTTTCCCCCCGTGGAATGAGGCTGTAGGGAAAATATCAGGCTCACCACTTGAAAAAGTTTCTGACATTTTGGGGTAAGTCTCAGGTTTCCACGTAATTTCCAGCAATTCAGCAGATTCTTTAGATTCATTAGGTTTCAAAGCCATAGACAATTCTGTTTCTGGTATCACAAACTGATGGGCACCACTTTCAGAGCTGTCTGAGAAATTTTGAGAAGGTGCCACACTTTCATACTGGCCACGCCTAGCTTCTTCTGCTTCTGGATCCTTGGGCATAGTGGTGACAAGGTGTTTCCCATTGATGTACTGCACAGATGGGGTGGTGGTTGCATCAGTAGCGTTTGCACAATCTTCGTCCTCCCCTCCATCCTCCTCACTGTTGTATAGGTTTATTTCAATTATCCCAGGGTAAATTCCATCAAATAGACTTTGCACCGGATCTGTCTCTTCACTACATGGTTCATCTTCTTTAGATTCTGAATCTATTGGATGACCACTTACACTCAAATCACTCATTCGACCTGAAAAAAACAAAGAGTTTTCACAATACTTAAATGAAAGATTTGGCAGAGTATGACAGAAGAAATCGACAGCAAGGTTGATCACATTTGCACACACAAAGGAAGACTCGAAGTTTTCCACATTAAGTGGTGATGCTACACATGGTTCTGTCTTCAAAATCTGTTGCCTTACATTAACAACAAGGAAAACACGTCCCATTTGTGATTGTAGAAACAGGTAAGGAAAACTCTTCAGAGAGTTTTACAAGACAGCAAAGTCCTTAACATGAAGCAAGGAATCATATGTGCATTATAATCCTGAAAGATTGCAATGGAAAAATAAAAATTAAGACCATTTCACCGGACCATCCACAAAAAGTAATTAATTATTGTCCTATGTGTAAGGGAGATGCTTAGATATTCTGTATACAACAAGGGACTGAGAAGAGCTCCCTTCAGGGTTCTTCATAATCTGACTGAAAGAAGGCTATTTTTAGAATAGTGAAGAGAGCTATTCATAGCCCATTCAGAATGCAGTGACAATCCCTACCCATGGCACCAGTATGACAGGAGCCCAGACACAGCCTGTCCACAGGAACAGGAAGTCCTATTTGGAGGGGACAGCTCACTGAAAAGACCAGGAAGGAAAGCACAGCCTTCTGTACCTTCACACCATCAGTCTCTCTGGCATGTGGCTGGGACTAGGTCACTTTTCTTGTTAGAAACATTTTCTCCAATGAAAGTTCAGGAGTCACACCTAGATAGTGTGTTTCAATACCACCTGTCATCAGAGCATCCCCAGGATTGTAAATTCAAAATGGCACCAGCCAATAACCTCAGTGGATTTTTCTGTCACCCCAAATGTACCAGCAAAGCTCTCTACTAGGGCACTAGGAAGGAAAAAATTTTAAGGCTTCGCCCTCATCACAGTGGTGTTTGACTATCCTAAGAGCGGGTGCTGCCACTACTGCTGCTCTACTTCAGTGAGCTCACTTGGTGAGAGGGACTTTGGATCCCCTGAGCCATGAAGAAGACACCAGACTGTGCAGTGCCTTCACATTCCACAAAGGAATTCAATCACAGACTCCGAGCTCACAGCACACATGCTTAGGCTGAACCTGGGATGGATGTGTCCAGGAGGAGTAAGTGGGACAGTGCCAACCTCCCCTCCACACCACCATTAGGGGAAGAAATATCCGTTTTTCTCCTGGGCTCTCTCAACTGCAAGAAGCCACCTGCCTTTGTATTTGGAGGGACCAATATCTACCATCTACTGTTACATCAAAAAAGAAAAAAATCCTACTCGGGAGAAATCAGTACCATATTGCTCATATTCCTGAATGCTATGCATCAATATAAATAGAAGTAGTGTGTGAACTATCAATATAAACTCGATGGGACCTTACCAATTTTTTTAATTAAAGAAATTAAAAAGCTACCATACTTTTAAGTAAACAGAGAACATGAGCAATATTTACATCTCTCTTTTCTATCTCATATAAAAACATGAAAGAAAACTCTTCTTTGTGCCCAGTGTATCTTCTACTAAACTGTTTCCCTAAAATGTTATTTGTGGAGAGCTGGGTTATTCTTACCCTAACTCTATGTCCTTCCTATTTCGCTTTCACATGTTATAATTCATTTCCTGTATCTCCATCCTATCCCACTCCGACATTCAACTTTTATGTAAGCTAAGGCATACAGAACTCAAATGGATGAGAAAATAGTTCTGTCATAAAGAAAAGTGACACTAATGCCTAACTCTAGTGCATTATAAAAGCAAAAAACAAATACAGGTTAATTTTGGCACAGATATCCCCTGTGCCAGATATCCCCAAGTTCATGAAAATACTTTGCCCTTTTAAAAAGTGTAACTAAAAAGAACAAGTTTGTTCAATATTAGGCCACAAAAGTTGTTTCAGTGACCTTATGGTGGCCACTGCATATGTTTTTTTTTTTTTTTTGGTTTTTCTCCGGTACCGGGAACCGAACTCACGACCTTGCGCTTGCCAGGCAGGCGCTTTGCCGCTGAGCTAAATCCCCAGCCCCAACTGCATATGTTTTAAAAGAGGACATAATAAAATCTTCAGATAATATCTTAATACAGTTTGCCTTAAAGAAAAGTTTTGTGCAGTGAAAAAGACCTAGGAATAAAGTGCTTAAATTGTATGACAGAATGCATTTTTCATGCCTTTTGTAGAAATGAATCTCTGGAAATACCACATCAACAAGTTAATCACTAAATCAGGTAGTTTCTCCTTGTTAATAGCACTTGAAATAGTTGAATAAAGCCAGCCTCAGTAATTAATATCTTCTACAACTTCCTGGCATTTATCTGGAGTTTCTGAAACCTTTCTACCTGAAACTGCTCGCACGCTCATTCTACATGAAGCCCTGGCTCATTGGACCATTAGGCACAAACAACACAAGAACTCGTGATGAAGAAGTGTTGCACAAGGCTCACTAAGTTCACACCTAGGTCTGCTTCACTCCAGAGCACCCTTCAGTCACATGGAGAAAGAATTTCTAAAGAAATGAATCAGTATTGTGCACATAAAGAATCCCTACCACACTTCAGACCTTTTAATAAACAGTGGCGTTAAAAGCAGCTAGACAGCCAGCTTCTCTGGCCAGTCACCAAGATAAAAAGGGAGCAACTGCTCAATATTGTGAATACATAAACTCTTAGGCCACGAGTGGGTAAAAACTCTCACCATTAGTATAGATTCATGTTAGCTTCTAAGTAAATCCCTCATTTTAACAACTAAAACTGATATAGACATATCCCACCATCTTCTTAGTGGATAATTACAGGTGGAGGGTCTTTTAAGTGGCTTTAAAATAGTAAGACAGAGAGAAGCATACAGGGAAGACATGAAGGTGTAATTAGGTGTGCCCATATGTCAAATGTTAACACAGTAAAGAAACTAAGAGATGGGCACCATGCTCCATTAAATGTATTCTTTTCTTTGTTCTGGTCTAGCAATATCAACTCCTACTAAGTCTACTTGATTCTGTTCATTAGAGACCATGGCATTCACTTTAAGTTCTCTAATTTTAGTCTCAATGAGCAGAAGCAAAACATTCCACCTGGGCAAAGAGCTCTAAGAGTTCCCACTGTTCAAACACCTCTTTAGCATTTTAGCCCAGCATTTCACTGAAAACCTAACTATTAGATGCACTGTGTTCTACCTGCTAACCAAAATAAATGTCACAGTACTTGAACCACAGCCATGTAAGCATATCAGAGTCTGCATATACATGTCAAGCACAGCAGTGCTCTGTTCCAGGTTTTGCCTGCATGACTAAATGCACTACCACACCCATGGGTGCTGTGCTAAACATACTGCTCCTTAGAAGCCAGCTTCTTACAGAAAATTGCCTAAGCATCTGTTATGTACCAGGCCTCATGGCTGACACTGACTTATTATTAACTTTACAGTGACATGAGTACCTTCTAAACCCTCCTACTGACACAAACATTTTTGCCAACAAGTTAGAGAACTGGACCAGCTAAACTCTTTGATCCTTATGTTGAGGGGGAACTTGTTAAGTGTACATATCACAAATATACCCATCATTAAGTTTAGATTAGGATCCCTTCCTCAGTTACCTCCCAAGTATCTGATCAGACTTGCCTTCAGAATAGCAAAAAGCAGAAGCACATTACCCAATTTAATCCTGTGCTTTTCATTGTTTCCTAAAGCTGGCAGGACCAAAGAACGATCATCACATCATGATAGGCACTAGTTGTGAGGAAAACCTACACATAAGCAATACGCTCATTTGATATGTATCGTCTTTTTAAATAAATGTTATTGTGTGTACTTGAGGCTTACCACATTTTGTTATTATATACCTATGAGAAGTAAAATGGTAACTATAATCTCAAGCATCATTTAAGTTATTTTTGCAACAAGAGCAACTGAAATCTACATATATAACACAAATCCCTAATACAATAGAATTCTATTCCCCATATTCCTCATGTTATGGTCCCATGTTGTACTAGATGTGACTTCAATAAACAAACAAGTGCAAAATGAGAGTTAAGCTTATGTGTTTCCTTTTACTGAAAAGCATATTTCACAACTCAGTGATCCATATTCATAGTGTTTCTTAATATTGCCTTAAAGGGGAGGTATTGACTACCAAGAGCTTTGAGGTTAAATTTTTCTGCCAACAGAGTCTTTACACATCAATCTCCCTTCTGTGCTGTCAGTATGCCTGGTTTGTTTCCACACTGTTAACACTTTGCACCAAGAGGGAGGCCCTGGTACAAAATCTACTGTACACAGAGATAGGTAAGTTTTCTCCAGCCATGAGGCCTGAATCCAGGCACTAATCCCACGTAGTTCACCATTCCTGCTGCTCCTCTTTGTTCTTTCACCCTCCAAAATTACCTCCTCATCCTCCTTCCTGCCACACCCCCACCCACCACATGTATTATTAGAGAACTGCAACAGCTGTAATTACTCCCGACCACAACAGTTTCTTTGTGGCGTGCAGGGGGCGGGGGGCTACCTGTGCCATTGTGCAGGTGGTGTCTAGCTCCCAAACCACGATCTGCTTTATTTCACACTAACAGAGCTACCTAATCGAGTTACTGACATTCCAAGCTCTCAGATGAACAAGTCTTTATAAATGACAGCTCTATTTCAGAATTTTCCTCTAAGGATAATATAACTTTTATTTGGGTTTCAAGAGTTAAGCCACAGAACTCTGTAGAGTGTGTATATAATCTCTTCTGTGTTTACATGAATGTATTTTAACACCTTGACTCCAGTATACTGGTACCATGGTTAATAGGTTTTTTAATGGCATTTCACACAAAACTTTATTGCTAGCTGACCTGAAGTATTTGTAAGTATTTGTAAGTACTTCATGGCAGAGTTTTGTAGACACAGCACAAGTCTTCCGGTCACACTGAGACAGAAAACATAATTGCTAAAACATATCAGCAGCTAGCTAAGGTTCACATTCCCTTGGAGGAATTCTACAGTTTCAGTTAAAGCACTTTT